GTGCAAATTTTTGGAGAAGCTTCCCTTTTTCAAGCACTTCGTTTACAAAGCGATATGCTGCCCGCCCTACTGAGCGAAAAGAGCGGAGCCCTTCACATAAAGGCAATGCTGAAGCGGGCAAATAACAGAGGAATAAGTGTTAACACAATACGTAATTGTGTTTCTAGGCCTTAGTATACTTGAGACATGAAATTTTCGTGTTTTCTCCTACTTTCACGCGAGTGGTCCTCTATCAGCCGCAGCCACAACGGTGTCGGCCCTGCATACCACGCGAGGGAGGCCATGAGTGTACAACGGGAATTCTGTAACCTCCAGCTAATTTATTGTGCTTTTTCTTGGTTACCGTTCGTTTTCAAGCCAATAATTGAGACTGTAGAGTTCTCGCTACGGCGTTTCTGTGCAGCCGAGCGTGCAGTGCTGGGGACCAGCGGCCCTTGTGGAACCGAAAGCCACAGCTGCAGTCACCCGGTGTGCTGATCGCTTCAAGTCCTTCATCTGGTAATTATGGGTAAGGCATTTTCGCATAGTCAAAAGTGCTGCCAGTTTTAAGGTGTTCCCCCTAGAGACACCCCTGGTACAGTGCCGCTTCTCGATGGCCCGTGGGTGTCCTGCAAACTCACAAGTGAATGACTGCGTGTATGAGCTGCATGCAGTGCTTTATCTGTTTTCATGCTGCTGAGTTGCAGGAGAAGAAGGCGGTTGGGGCCCTGGCGGCGCCACGAGCCGTTTCCAGGAGGTATTACTGAGCGGCGGCAGCAAAGTGCTGCAGCAGGCGACAGAGTTCCTAGGGGAGGGCCCGAAACCTCTTCGGTTTCTTTGCTTTATCGGTGAGTTGCGTATTGAAAAATAACTTCAAAACTCTGAACCCTGCGCCCTAAACCGCGCGCGGCCCAAGGGGGTTTCTCTGCTACCTAACCACAACCACGTTCGGAACACCTTCAGTCATGCACTTCAGTTGCGTTCATATGCATTAGAAAGCAAGTAATGGAGTAGCAGAGTAGAAAACCGCAGAAGATAAGTTGAGTTCCTGTCTTCTGTAGGGGGCCTCATGACGGTTGTGACATCCGGCTTGGCCTGCATTAACATCTTCTCCATCCTGGTCGAGCCCTCGAATTACATATTGCAAGTTTATTTGGTGTAAGAATTAGACTCAACCAAAACCGTTGCCGTGGACTTTAACTGTGAGGGGAACACGACTAATAGCCACCTCACACAGAACGCGGCGGCTTACGATTGAGTAGTTTGCAAAAGGTGCCCATGAAAGCAAGCAGCATTCACAGAACAGAGCTAACAACACAAATTGGCCTTCATTAAATAGTACTTTGAACTACTTCCAGAGAATTCTGGCGCCTTGCGGTTGTTAAGGTTGTTTGGTCTGCTGACTTTGGCCGTAGAGGCCAAAGACATACAACCGCTTGAGCGCATGCGGCCTTTCTTTTTTTCGTGGTTTCGCTTTCTGACTGTGCCGGGGGGCAAAGGCTGTTTTTATATATTCTACGGTGAGGCCTCCTGGATCAAAGACTATCCTGGTAACCCTTGAGACCGATTCCCTTTCAACTGAGGGCTGAGAGAGTCCTGTTGCTGCTGGCGCAAGCAGTGCACAAATTATATGTGAGACGTATCCAGTCAGTTAATGTGCAGCCTCTGTGATTCTTTCAACGTGCTCTTCCCAGGCTCTCTTTCGCTCTCGCTTTGGAGGAGTTCCTTCTTCCTGGCGCTCGTGGGTGAGTTTCCTCTTACTTGGCTCTGTTCACTTGTCTAAGTGGTCATTGTTTGTTCGTCTATTTGCTTCTTTATTCCTTATTTTGTTCTATTGAGCCAGTCCTTGTACTGTTTCGTCTGCAAGTTGTTCATCTGTCTGTTTTGCTGCTTGCCTGTCAGTTTATCTGTTCTCCTCACTGCCTCTCTGCGAGGAAACAAAACAAAGAAAGAGGGTTTATTGAGTATGTGGTAAAGTCTCTCTGCATGTAGAACTTGCATCTTTGCCAACGCGGCATCTCGTCGTCTTTCTGCTGAGTATCGCGCAGGCATTTACACCGCCAGCATGGGCATTGTATGTGTTCTTGTCCACTTTGGAATGCGCCAGGAGCTGCAGCAGCATGGCATCGCAATCTCAGTGAGCCAGGAGCTGCTGCTTTTCACGTTTTCTTTGTTATGAGTGATCAATAGATCATTTGATTAATGGGGCCACTGTTTAACTATCAGAGTTTGCTGTCAAGTGCTGCGCCCACTGCAGGACGGACCTGAACAGGAAGTCGGGCTGGGCCGGGCCATGGAGCCCGAAAACATCACCCCACCAGCCTTTTCATGATAAACCCAAATAATTTATCTGCAGAAAGCAGGTGGTGAAGTTTGGCGCCCAATTTGAAGTGCTTGGCGTTCATCGCACAAAGTCAGCACGGCACTTCAAAAGACCTCGAGGCCCAGTATTAGTGCCCGTGGTCACTTTGTTCTCTTTACCTCACCTTTTCACTCCCTACCGAAATACTTGAATACACTGAGGAAACAAAGGATTAGTCGCAGTCCGTAAGGAATTATGGTTAATGTAACGTGCGGTCTGTCTCTGTGAGCATCTGAGCATCTGTTGGGGACAGCTCGAGCTTGACTTGAGGCCATCGCTCACAGTTCTAGATGAACAGAGTGGCTTCGTGCTTTCTACCGCTGCCCTGTAAGCTTGTAATTTTTTCTACTCTCTGACTGTTTGGCTGCCACCAAAGCGTACGTTCTAGTTGTTTTTCGGTAGTGTTTTGAGCAGCGAAGTAAACTCGTAAACCCTTGGCAAAGCGGCATCACAGGGGAGACGCTTAGGGGAAGTGTTCGAGTGTTTGTTTACGTAAAGCAAACCTTGTCGATAGACAGATGGATACAGTAAAATGTTCGTTCTTCGTGGCGTGAAAGCCCTTTTTAGGGCCTAAATGTAGTTCCCCGAACACCGGGGGGCTAACATTTTTCTCCGGTGTTTTTGTGAGTCATAAAGTGCCACTTGCACAGGATTGGCGCTTCAAGCTACTGCAAGGCGTAAGTGTTGGGTAGCTTGATGTGGAGCTGTTTCTGGGTAGACCTATGGGATCGTGGCTGAGGCTCAAGACTGGCAGATCACTGTGAGCTAGTGACGGCCAGCCCTACAGTGGAATGTTGGTTTCATTGCTTCTTATGGAAGCAGTGGCAAGAGAGGCGGCTAAAGTCACTTTCTGCCTAGTAAAAAACTCACGTCACTGCCGTTTTGGGTAGACAGTTTACTTTGGCGTTTCGGTAGAGAGGAGTTCCTTCGGCAGCCAAGTTTAAGGCAGTGCCCTGGAGGGGAAACGTAGTCAAGACAGAGACTAGAGAAGACCGTGAACAGCAACTAACGGAAGAATTGAAAGCTACAGCAGAGATGAAAAACAGCAGTAAAAGATACAGAAAAGACTGGGAGATATTAACCCTATTCTTTTCGCGGGTGGCAGGCGCCGGAGGGGGGGTGAGGGAGCGACGCACTGGGTAAACGGCTTAAAGGATTCCCTGCATTGATTGGACTGTGGCTGTTCATGAAGAGGCAGAAGTGTCGGATGAAATGTGGTATTTGATGAGCGAAAGGGTGGGGATGCATAGCGCTTTCCCTGTTGCAGCTTGGGCGCAGGCCAAGCCCGGAGGCTTGCGGCTTGATGTGGCTTCTGGGTGCCGTTTGCGTGAAAGTACGAATTGCCAAACTATTCAAACAATATTACTCTCTTATTAATGGAAGCGCTGGTACCTGGGTATCCCCGTCAGATTACAGCCGCCGTTTACCCTCATGTTGCCCCACGAATATACATATATATATTTTAAATACTTTAAAATAAATAATGGAACGGCAGACGACAAAGTGTTTAGCAAGTGTCCCTGCCTCCTCATCTTAGACTTCCTAGTGTAACATCCCGTAACTACGACTCCTGAGTGGCTATTAGCTGGTTCAGTTTTCGGCACTGCTGGGCTTGCCCCAGGACTTCTTGCCAGCCGGCTTTTTCTCTGAAATATCCATAGCACACTACATATTAGTGTTTCATTTATCTATATCATCAATCTAAGATTGCTTAGTCGGTTGGGCGCGCAGAGGGCTTACGGCCGCTCGTGGGCAAGATGCCAACAGATCACCGTGCACAGGTCTCTTTCCCTCTCCTCCGGTACAACGGACCAAGTTTTAGCTAAACGGATCTGCTGCTGAGCTTTGTGCCGTTATGGAGAGAAGTACACCAACAACTACACAGAAAAATCCCGGTAAACTTTCTCAGGGCAATGTATACCGGTGTGGGGAAGATTATTATAGAGACAAACGCGCATCTTTCGGAACGCTGGTGTGCAATCGTGTGAACATCACAAACAAACGCAGATATGAGCCTATGCTGCATGCATTTGGGTGTACAGGATGTGCACGTCGATCTCCTTCGCAGTTGCGCGCAGTGGCGTGTAGGAGATCTGTGCTGTGTTTCTGAAGATTCACGTTCATGCCTTGAATACAGGTTACCGTGGGGGTGGATGGAGACAAATAGCTATTCTTTTGGCTTCAATATTATTTAGCAACTGTTTAAATAAAAAATAAAGGTAACAGGGTGAATTTGTTGCTGGGTTTCCGCAAGAAGGGCGGCCGTTGCTCTCCTTGGGGTTGGGATCAGTGTCTAGATAGCACGCTCGCGTGGCACTGTCTCTGTTTGTATGCCACAAAAGTCTCAGCAGTTGGTCCATTTAATTTGCAGATCGAAATTCATCATTGAATCGTACCTTTTCCAATATCTGGCCGTCGCTGCCGAATTTTTGCGCTGCCTGCCTCAGCAGAGCCTGACGTGAGTAGCATTTTTGCAGGTCTTGCCGCACCCACAGCCACCTGCTACTTCTCCGTTTCTTTTCCTTCACAAATGCGGCATCCTTGAATATTGTCGTCAACTCCAGATACCGGGAGATTTAACTCTGGCAAGTTGCTGCGTGCTGGAGACGATAACGCGGAGCCGTAGCCCGTAGACACTTAGCCCCGAACCTACATAGACATGGGTCGGAAATTCAAGCCAAGGCTCCCCGCCCCCGGGGAGGTGCTGTACCCCCTGGACGGCTCTCCCGCGGTGGAGTCCGTGATGAGCCCCAGCGGCCTGAAGCTGGCGCTGTATGCGTGGCGGGTACAGCAGCCGAAGACGGTGGCTCTCTTTATTCACGGTGTACAGACTCACGCGAGATTCGAATTTCTAAGGCACCTAAACCCAGGCGAGCCCGACTTGCCTTCTCCAGCTCCCCCGGCTGCAGCCGCGCCCGCGGGTGCAGCGCAAGCGGCGCCCGCCGCAGCCGCAGCAGCAGCAGCAGCACCTGAAGCAGCAGCAAAGGAAAGACGCGGCAGAGGGAAAGCTAAGGCTGTACGGCCAATCGGCCGACAGTGCCTGCGCTGGTGCATCTACGAAGGCAGCTGGGTGCAGCAGCTCAACCGCTGGGGCTGCTCCGTCTATGCCGGGGACCTGCAGAGTTTTGGCCTCTCGGAGGGCTGGAAGGGCCGCCGCTGCAGCGTTGAACGCCTCGACAACTTCGCTATGGATGTCATTGCCTTTGCAGAGTTCGTAGCCGCAGATATCAGCGCTAGGCCCGCCACCGGGGGCTCCCCAGCGCCCTCGGGCGACCAGCAGCCGCCCCCCATTTACCTCGTGGGCATTTCCATGGGTGGCTTCTCAGTAATTCGCGCCTTAGAGATCATGGGCGAAACTCACCACTGGCTTGTCCGCGAGGCCCCCACGTCTGAGGCCCCACACCAGGAGGCCCCAGCTGCGCCCCCCCGCCAGGGGCCCCCCCACAGCTCCACCCAAGGGGCCCCCGTGGAGCCCCCCGAAGGGGCCCCCTCGGCAGCGCTGTCGACGGGAAGCCCTTCCGGTACCCTGACGGAGGCTCCAACAGGGGCCCCCTCAGGAGCCCCCACGGGGGCCCCCAGTGGGGCCTCCGACGACATAAGGCCTCGCATTGTTGGCTGCGTCGCTCTGGCGCCCATGCTGTCCATAGAAAAGGCCAGCTCGGGGGCCTACAACAGAACCATGACAAAAGTTGGGGGAGTCTTGTCTCGTGTGGCTCCGCATTTGGGGGTGGTCAAGGTGCCTCCGGCTCGGCTTCCGTGGGTTGATGACCAGAAGAACGAGGTGGGATAAGAAATCTGTGCTTGGTCTAATTCAATTCAGGTTTCTGCGCTCAATTTTGTACTCTTCACGAGGTTTTGCGGGGGAGTTTTGCCGTGCCAAGCACAAGCTTGGGGCGCGCACGAAAATGATACTGTTGACCCTACTCAGCTCAGGTTTCTGCATTGCCCTTTTTGAGGCTTTCTTTGTTTTCCGTGACAGAAAAGGTGTCGTGGCCACAAAATATTCCTGTTTGCGGTTGCAAGCTACATTTCCACCTGTACGTTTTCATGCTGTCTTCGTAATGAGTTGTCCACATTGATTCATATTCGCGTTTTCACACATTTCACTGGCCAGAATGCTCGATGTTTACGTGCGTTTTGCTATCTTCACATGAGTGCTTCTTAATTCGCCTTTGCTTTTCCACCATAGAGGACCCATGGGAATGCAGGTTGATTCACACGTTTCCTCTTGAACGCTTGTAGAACAAGTGATGTTTCGGTTTATTCCGCTTTCTTTGTTTTGTCTCTGTGTGGCTGTGCATTAATTTGCTGCACTGCAGGACCCACTGGTGACGTGCCCGTTGAAGATCCCGGCTCGGTTAGCCGCTGAGGTGATGGCTGCTGTGCCCCGCGTGCACTTGAATGCGAAATTCATTCCACTGCACATTGCCCTTCTAATTATACATGCCAGGGAGGACTCTATCGTGGAGCCACAAGTCAGCTTCTTGGGAAACAGCACGACCAGCAGCAACAGTAGCAGTAACGGCAGTAGCAATACAGCAGCAGCAATACCAGCTAAAGTTGCAGCACGTGCGGTAGCCCTAGCAGCAGCAGCAACAGCAGGCTCATAATGTCATAGCGTGCAGCAGAGGCCCTTCAGTCCACTCATATTTTACTGCGGGCATTGCCACGTCAGGGGAGTACGGCCTAGAGCTCAGTTCCCAACACTCAAAGCCATGATTTAGCAAGATTGCCCGTTAGACCCTTAGCACATGTTATAGTGCATAGGTTAGGTGGCCTTGAATCAGCTCCGAATTTTTTATCGTTGGGCCCTGAAGCTTGCAGCGCAATTTTTAAAATATCTTCTTTACCTGTTTTTTGGCCTCGCTCTTGAATCTTTGGTTTCAAATTTGTCAAATGTCTTTAATTTGTGCATTTGCCTCTGCTTGCATTCTTCAGGGCAGCATACGGTTTATGAATGAGTCGGGGGCGCATATACAAAAGCGCCGGCTGGATATCTTGGAGGGGGAGAGGGGCCACTACCTGGTGATAGAGCCAGGCAACGATGAAGTGCTCGCGGCTATAAAGGAGTGGCTTAGGCTATAATTAGGTATTATAACTGGTCATACTCACACGAAAGTTGCCGTTAGTAAGGTTCAATGCATGCGGACAGAGACATAGAGGCACATGCCATATTTATATCGGCTTGTGTACTAGCGCATGTGTTTGCTCATGGTGGAACTGCAAAGAGCTCCTGAGTGTGCAATTACATATTGCACTGTAGACCTCGAGATAGCTGTGGCGTATTGTATGCTGCCCCCGTGGCCGCCGTTTTAATGAAATACAATATAAGTAATTCCGGTCTTCTGCGTAGTTGCGTACTTTGCACCATGACCACAGTTTGCGTATTATTCGCTGCACAACTAGCGAGGCTTTTTTTCGAGGTGCTTTGATATGTATATAGTAAAAGCTGTTGACCATTCCACAGGCATTTCTGCAAAGTGACGTACAGTACACATGACCCGCGTGTACTGGACGCAACGCAGGTAATATGCCTGCTTTATTCGTGTCAACAAGTGCTCCTCGTCTAGCATTTTGCGCTACATCACGCATTGTATGCACCAAGCGTGCAGGTAATGGTTGTGTACACGCGTTTTTGCGCCTGTCTTTTGAATTGGGCACATACTGTGCGCATGCACGCATACATACACAGGTATGTATGCATTCACGTATAGATTACCCTACGTACAACGCACATTTTATCTATTCTTAATTCCTCGTCGACAGAACAAACATAAACAAGTGTAGGAGCTACAGCTGGAGAGTGGTCTGCTGAACAAATAGCGAAAGTTAGTGGAAGTGAAAACAAATCCTGCTCCATCTGCAGACATTGTTTGTTATATTGTGGCTTTGAATCAGCAAGCAGCTGGTGTTTGAATTGGCGGGTATATTTAAAGAAAAAACCAAAAGAAACTGTTTGTAAATCCTGTTCGAGTAATCCGTGCTGCTGGGACCTTGTCGCTGGTCTTTGCTATGTAGACATGGGCGCTTTGTATATTGTTGCGAATTGTAACAAATAATGCAAGCAGACGCACAAATTGATCAACCGACTATTTCTTGTTCACTTGCTTTTCCCAGAAGTAATACGTATTACGTTGGAAGAGATTATCTCGATATCTCTTTAGGTGCAACGTAAACCAATCGGTCCACTGGACAGCTTGCGCGCTTGCGTTCTTAGCTTTAGCTCTTAGTAATGACCACTGGCCACGTGGGGGTAACCACTAGAAACGACACCACTCAGAGCTTCCTGGGGCCACATCTAGGGCAAAATCAGCACCGCTATCGCTGCAACCGAGAGTTATCTGTCAAAAGAAACCGAACTAACGAAAAAGGATCCTTGGAATTTGCACCGCTCGAATGCCGCAAATATATCCGGCGCACACTCTGGAAAGGCCTGGATATGCCTCTGCACTGTGCAAGTGCATCGAGCTAGTCCCGCCGCAGCTGCAATCTGTTTGCATGCGCTTGCTTACCATAAATGCGTTTCCGACATAGAAAGCAGCGCAGACGCCGCAAGCAACATCAGGGCAAAAAGTGCTGCTGCTGACGTGCAGCGGAACTCTTGTCTGGAAAACACCAGCCAACAAACCCTCTGGCCGCAGCAGCAAACATTGCTCGCCATTGCTGCGGCCCATTTTCATTCCAAGCACCGAAGCAGCAGCAACTTCGGCCAAGAAGGCCTGTGGAGTTCTAAAAAAGGGAAAATCTGGGGAAGCAGATAGAGGCGCCTTGTGGCTGACTTGAATATAGCAACTACGCGCTCATTTGCAACGATACATATATACATATGCGCATGGGTACCTATTTATATTTCATTTATCTACTGTGGATTTTTTTGTATTTCATATGGATTTGCCTAGCTTCGAAGAAAGAGATGCACGTAGTAAGTTTGTGATAATTAGAAGGCATAGGCGCATGCTCCAGTCATGCAGGTATGCCTGAAGGTTATTACATACTATCTGTGTCACTGCGTGTTGGTACCTGCCGCCTGTGCTCCTGTTGCTACTGCTGCTCTCCATGCTGTAGCAACAACTGTAGCTGTTGGCAAGGTAGCATATAACATTACGAAACACAGTGCAGTCAGCGAACAAATCCAGGTGGTCTGAATAAAGCGAAATTATTAAAGACAAATGAAAGCAATATACTTGCCAAATGGCGTTCGCCACTTTATCCTGCGGCTGCATACCAGCAGCAGAAGCTGCTGATGCATTTCTAGCTGCTGCAGTTGACTCCTGCAGGGAAAGACGCAAGAAATGCGGCTACAGCTGTTCCTGCTGTTGCTGCTGCAGATGCGCGTTTTGCTGCTGCTAGAAGCTTTGTAGTGACCTGGTGTGGCGGTTGTTTCACGTGCTGCCGCAGGAGTCGCTGCACGTGCTGCTCTGCCTGACAGCCCCAAACTGGGGGCCCCACCTGATCCCTGACTACAGCTCCTGCTGCTGCTGCTCCTGCCTGTGCTGCTCCTGCTGCTGCAGGCAGCGCAGCAGCTGCAGCAGCCGCTGCTTTCGCTGCTCGCGTGGCACTGGCCTCTGCAACGCCGTGTCAAAGTGCTGGCTGTGCGTGTCTTTGGCTGAGGGGCCCCAGCAGTAGGACGGGTCGCTGCTGTACCACCAGCTGTGCCATTCATCTGGCTTGCCTGTTGCTGCAGCTGCTGCTGCTGCCGTTGACGCTGTCGACACAGGGCGTGCGGCCTCCTTATTCCCGGAAGAGACGCCAGCCTCTGCAGCTTCAGCAGCAGGAGAAGCGCCAGCAGCAGCGCCTGCTCGCTGCTTTTCCGCAGCAGAAGCATCCGCAGCAATTTGCTGCTCTCCCCAGCTGCTGAGTGTCCAAGGAAGAAAGTCAACTCCAAACAGCGATGCGAGACACTCTGCAGCTGCACGTACACCCGAATGCATCGCTCCGTGAACACACTGCTGCCCGAAATCTGAAGTGTGTTCACCGCAGAAGAATATGCGAGCGTCACTCAGACAGCCTTCAAATCTGGCTGCTGCTGCTGCTGTTGGTGCCGCTGCTGCTGCCGCTGTTTGCGCTGCCGTTGACGCCTCTGCGACTGCTGCTGCTGGTGCAGCTCCTACTGCTGCTGCTTTTGATGCAGCTTCTGCTGCTGCGGGGGAGGGGGAAGACGATTTCGCTGCGGTTACATGCACCCGCTGTGGCTCTCCAGCGAGTGGATTCTCTGTGGAGGGCTCGAGACTCTGTGTGTCACTTTGCTGCTGCTGCTGCTGCTGCATGAGCTGCAGCACTTGCTGCAGAATTGGAGGGTCCGCTGCGGCGACGGTGGCTGGACGAGGGCACCAAGGAATCGGCAGGGCCATTTGCCTTTGCTCATCAGCCTCCACGTACTGCGCAGACAAGCAACAGCAGCAGCAGCGATAGTAGGGCGAGCAGCAGCGGCAGCAGCATTGAGCGTGGATCTGTTCAGCCACGGAGGGAGGGAAAATAGACAGAATTTAGACCTGAGTAGCAAATCAAGAGCCAGGTGCTGAAAGTACTAACAGCTGCAGCAATTGCAGCGACAGCAGCAGCCGTCTCATCAACAGCAAAAAGCGACAGTAGCAAGAGAAGCAGAAAAAGAAGTCAGACAAGGAGCAGCAACCACAGCAGCAGTGGCAGGGCTAGCAATACAGACGCAACGAGGCAGATACAGATACAGCGACAGGAGGAGCAGCAAAGCAGCACGTGAGCAGCAGCTACAGCAAGAGAGCAGCAGCAGCAGCTGCAGCAGCAATTGCAGGATAAGCAGCTGACCTTTGAGGGGTATCCGTAGGCGCACTTGAAAAGAGGGTCTTCATCCCATCTGGTAACAAACGCGCGCAAAGGTTTCGGCTGTACAGACAGCCCAAACATTTGCTGTAGCACAAAACAACATTCGTCTATCACCTCCCAAGCCTCCACGGGCCCATCTTCCTTAATGCGCAGGCAAGTGCCACCAGGGCTCATTGATTTGCTGCTGCCGTCGCTGCTGCTGCGCTCCTTGCTGCTCTTGCTGCTGCCGTTGAGGCCGTCACTGGCCTCGTGAATGCCGTTGCAGTTGCTGCCGTTGCTGCTGCTGCTACGCGGCTTGCTGGGCAGGTGCATGGTTGTACTGGGGGTTCCGATGCCGTTGCAATTGCCGCTGCTGCATGGCTTGCTCGGCTGACGTGCGTTTTTCACCTCCTCTTGCTGCTGCTGCTGCTGCAGCAATGC